GCCCACTCGGGAAGTCTCACGGAGCGACGTTAATGTTACCCTCTGTCCATGTAGACGATAACCGTGGAGCAGAAAGCCCCGCTCCTAGCTGCCGGCGATGTCAGCAGCATGTTGGAGCGATATTAATTGATCATACTTCGTACTGTTCGCCATTGTGCTCTCCTGAAAACAAACTGTTCTGTTTCATAGCGCGCTATCGCCACACAGCTAGCCTGGATCGATGGGAATTTAGGCTCCTGTTTGGAGATCCGGACCGTTTGGCTCAACTGCGCTCGAAGAGTCGACCCGTTCAGGATCAAATTTATGCACCGTGATTTGGCTTTAGAAATAAAATAGGACACATTGGATACATTCCAGGCTGGTTTTTTAGAGACTGTGAAGGAAAGTGAATTAAACAAACAAACAAACAATTCCTTTCACCATTTTATCGTTTTGCTTGCAGAAAAATAAAGGACTAACAAAAAAAGAATAAGTGGTTTAAAAAGATAACTAAATTCTTCCTAATTAAATTATTAATTTAATTAGAGTTCTGAACCAACCAAAACCAAAAACACAATTGAGCCTCTAAATAAGTTTGATCACTTATGATTTTCATATAGAGTATGTCTGCTTTGTGCATCTATGGAAACTTTTGCCTGTTATTCTTTACCAAGCAACTCGATCTCTGTCAAAACACATGGCAATCAACGAACATTCAAAAGATTCCCATTTGAATTTAGGTTTGGACTTTAATTAGGCCAATTTCACTCAATAATAAGCCTTGATATGTAGAATTTCTGATCTAAAGAAAGGAAAAATAGATCTAATGAATACCACAGGTATGTTTCAGTGTTATTGTGTAGTGGAAATTCAATGCAAAGCCGTTGAATTTTGCATTGAAATTGGACACTTTCTATCAAGACGATGCCTGATTATTGTTCCTGATTTATTCTGGCCTGTGACTGAGAGCATTTTAGTTTAGTTATCAGATCACCCCCTCGCTGTCCAACAGCTTCTGCCGTTCAGACATGTGAACCAGGACAAAGACCCAGTTTGGTCATGAGTGGAAAATCACAGTCTTGCAGCTGGAGCAGATGTTCCTCATGGGATGATGAGACAGGGGAAATAAACTCATTCACCCCTGGTGTTTTGTTTTATTTAGGGGGGGGTTTGACAAAGGACAACACAAACGACATATTTAAATAAATGTCAGCAAAAAATGAGACAAGCATAAAAGTATGTTGCAGCATACAGACTTATGCAAGGCCCAAAGCAAACCGACTCCTCCCTGAACCATGTGAGGAAACATGGTTTTAAAGGGCAGTACGATGTAAAATTGACCTTTTTGAGCTTTTCATCATATTACAAAGTTATTCCCTCATCTAAAACATACTTGGAGTTTTGTATTGATGTTTGAGAAATTCTTCAATCTCCATGGGAACCATTCAGCTGACAAAAAAAAGAACAAACAATGACAAAAACGCCTGGGTGGGCCTAGCCCCGCCTTCAAGAGGCAGCTCCTCCTCAGAGCTGCAGTTTCCAAGTGTCAGAGCTTCTGCCTCACAGAGCGGTGCTCCCCCACTCAGTTCCTTCAGACTAGCCAGCAGCTATTGGCAAACACATGGTGGAACTGTGCATCTGCTGAGCTGGTAAAATGTTGTTAAAGGGTTGATAGAGGAGCCATGTTGTGACGACTTCCTTGAGGCAGAGTTTCAGAAAGAGCAGGAGTTTTTAAAGAGACAGAGGCCCAATTTCAAGGCGTTCATTTACAAAGTCACATTTTTTTTAAGTTGTATTTGATTAATGTAGCAATTTTATAACAATTAAAGTTAACATAGTTACTTGACTGTGTTATAAAATAGCACTATCTGGCTGGAAAACACATAATATTGCCCTTTTAATGTTTCCATGGTTCCTCCACCACCAGGACTATAAATTCTTGATGAATTTAGGGAGCAAACATTATAAACAATATATTTAGACTCTCAAGTCATGTTTTTTTTTCTTACAACTACACCACTGAATGAGTCACTCTGGGAGAAAGATGTTTAGTCAGTGACTAATGATGTGACTTCTGGTGCACCCTTGGACTGAGTTCTGGTGACCAGACAGCTTTTACAGTATATGTGACCAGAGAAGAACTGCCTTAAATGATAATAAGACGCATGTGTAAAGTGCTTCTATCAGACGCCTCACTGTGTTTTGAAGCCATGCAGAGGAAAATCCCTGCTTGCAGCCAGTTCCCTGTCTGTCAGCTTCCGGCCAGGAACATCCAGTCGGCTTCTATAAACAAGCTACATTCGCTGTTGCTCCATGGAAGTTTTCAGAACCCCGGCCCGGGAGGGAAGTCTGCTAAAGGTCACAGCAAGTTCTCTGGATTTAAAAATCCTTTTTATGTCTGGATCTAAAAAAATCAGCTTCTGCAGAGTAGAACCTTGAACAGAACATGCTTTAGTGATCGGGGGAAGACCCGGATCACGCTGGAGGAACTCACGTTTCCTTTCTGGCCTGGAGAAATGTCTGGGTTTCCCTCTCTGGACCTGTTGGCCTCACAACTTGTTCTTAGATAAGCAGAAAACAATGGATGGATGGATGGATACTATGCTTCCTGTCGTCTGGTCCAACCAAGCAGAATCGTGTTTTCTTCTGTTTAGCTTTGTTGATGATGGTTTATTTGGCTTTTCTGGTTAAAAAAACCCACTTCCTCGCCGCTCACTCAGAGGTATCAACTTCCATTTTTGACCGTTTGTTTTTCACTTCTTTTGTTATTTATGTCCTGTTTTCCAGGCTTCCAGCTTTGGAAGCCCTTCCATTGTTTCAGCAGATAGCTTTCTTGTGTGGAGCGATGTTTTCCTTTAGCAGGAACCCAGTCTGAATTAGTGGTGCACTGACTGCACTTTTCTGGCTGACTGCAGATTTAAAAAACAGTGGGGTGGTTATTGTTAGCTGCGAACGTGCAACATTTTTTCCATCCGCCTTACTAAGAAAAAAACGGGAGAAATGTTGTAATTGTCTCGCACGTTTTCTAAAAAGTGAAACAGCAGAGAATCGATATCCGTTACCCGTGTTTCCCGTTTTGACTTACAGAAGCTGAACAACTACACGGCCTTTAATTCATTTTGCTGAAGAAGCATTGCAAGAAGAATCTTTTTTTTTTTAAATCAGATGAAAAAGTTCCTATCACATGAGTAATTTCCTTATTATCTCACATTTCCAGCTGCAGAGAAGGCGGGAGAAAGAAAACTGCTGCTCAGGGACCACCCTTGTACATCTGAACAAAAGCAGAGATGTTCGCTACAGTCCCACACAATCCACAAGAGTCTGTGTGCAAATCCACAACAAAGAGTCCTGCTCACATCAGTTTTCCTACAGCTAACGAGTTAGCTGCTTTTCTCCAGCAGAAAAATCCCAGCGATCTCTGCAGCTTTGGTTCCTCCGGTTCCTGCACTGATTACAACTAAACCACAACCAGACACACTCTTTGACTGCAAGTGTTTGCTCTCCTTTGATTTATTTATTTGTATTTATTTATTTTTCAGTGTGGCCCTCAGTGCTTCATTCAGGTTGAATGCGGGAGTGGAAGGCCGACCTCTTGGGACGGACTGAAGTTTTTCTTGAGGATATGAGCAAAAACTTGTTCAGCCATGTCTCGGAGCAGACCGCCAGCACCAAATGAGAAAAGCAGACATCTTATTTTGTATTTTTTGGGGGGGAAAAAAATGTGAAAAAATATTTCTTGCCCAACAGCTACAACCTGAAACTATATGACGTATGCACAGTTCTTAAGAGCATAGAAGTACAGCGCCGTATTAGGGTCATTGTAGACAGAGAGAGAGAGAAAAAACAGTGCATTTTTGTCACAAATTTTTTTTATTACATTTTCCTGAAATAAGGAAAATTAAGAAATTGGAAATTTTAACATTTGCCAGAAAAACATCTGAAATTTCTGAGACTAATCTCAAAATTTCAGATTTTTTTCCAGGACATTTTTTGGCTTTTCAAACTAAGAAATGTCCTCATTTCTAGAAAGTGTATAAAATTAATCTCAAAATCTCCTTCTTTTTTTATATATTTCATACTCAGAAGTTTTTTTGTTGTTTTGTTTTTTCTACAAATCTCTGCAATTTAGCTAAAAAATTCAGAGTTTTCTGGCAGATTTTTTTTTCTCTATCTACAATAATCCTAATACACCGCTGTATAATATATCTGATTGGGTTCCATGAGATTCCTCCGAAACGGGGACGTAGGATTCAGCTGCTTCCAACAGGGACATATTCAGATTGCTGTGGTGAAAGTATTTGATTTAAACTATAAGTTGATCAGATAGCACACAGTTTGAATGAACCAACATTCCTTTATGCTCTCATTTGGTGCGTTCCTCCGTTCCACAGCAAACAGAAACATCACATGGTTTTTGGTCATGTCACAGTCGCTGGATTTCCATGACTAAGTGTGCAAACCTTTGTCTGAAAACCATTCATGGATTCATTTGTTCATGTGATAAGTCATAGTAAAAACGCTACGTCATCCTCCTCCTACCACCTCCTGTTGTTTGTTTCTTCATGGTTTGCGCCAGCTGTTGATCATGTGACTCCTTTTCATGTTTCATAAACCTTATCCTAATGCCAGAATCTTTAATTGAGCAACTTCATTTTAAATTGGTTTCTGTGTAGTGAATTTATCTTTGAAATGTCAAATTGCTCAATTATATGGTCAATGGAAGCACAGCTAGAGCTTGTGGGTAATTTCCCTAAAGCAGAGAAGTACAGGTTAAGTCACCATTGTGGTCACTTTCCTCAAGGTGCCGAAAGGATAGTGAAATATGTATGTAATATAGACAATATTGTTAATTACCGGTTATCGACCATGACATGAATAGTAATATCGAAATCTGTAGGAATTTTTGTATTGTTGCATCCCTAGTCCTGATCCAACTGGATGAGGAAATGAGTAACAAAGACATTAAGAAAAAGCTGCAGAAATGATGACAAACACTGAAAAATGAGAGTAAAAATCTAATATTCTGTTGTTTAAATACTTTTAGTTTTGTTAAATTCAAAACCCAAAAAACAAATCTGCAACAAGGCGTTTGATAAACACTGCCCCGTTGAGGCAGGTCAGTGATTTAAAGTTGTTTTCTCTCATCTGCTGTGCTATCCATCGTACTTGGATGTGAAAGCGCTGATGAGACCTCAGTAAACCATCAGGAAGTACCTCAACGATACTTTAATGTTTCATTCTCTTACATGTCAGAGCAGTCAAGTAGGCATATCCTGGAATGAGATTCTGAGGATAACCTTGAGTGAAAAACAACACATCTTCACTTTGAAAAGCTCCGGTCTCAGGATGTCTCTTGTCTGAATGAGTGATGGGTGGGACTCCTTTAGCTTCCAACGCGTGAGTGGCAGAGCAAAGAAACAGGAGGGGTGAGAGCAGCGCATTGTTATCCTACTCAGTGCAGCTGGAGAAAACTCTGGTCACTCCAGCACTTTTTTTCCCCCCTAAAATCTCACGCAGTGCTTGGATTGAACACATCCTCTCAGATGCGTTACAAAGCTTTATAAAAACCAGGCAAAATAAAAATCTCTTGTTTTATCAGGAACAGCCAGTTCCATGTCTGTCAGCTTCCGGCCAGGAACATCCAGTCCGCTTCTATAAACAAGCTACATCCTCGCTGCTGCGGGGTGGAAGTTTTCAGAACCCCGGCCCTGGAGGGAAGTCTCCCAAAGGTCACGGCAAAGTTTGCTAAAGATTAATATAAATAAATAAAAAATCTTCTTTACATGTCAGATGTCGATCACCCAACATTCGTGACCTTTAGAGCCGCCGCACGTGATTCACCTCTTGATCTTCCCTATCTCCTCGCAAAGCCTGGAGAGGTACTGCGTGAGCTTCACCATGACGATGATGAGGGCCCCCACCGTGAGCGTGCACGAGGGCCACAGCAGGGTGTGGAAGACAGCGCCGTGGTCGTAGAGCCGGGTCAGCAGGACCGTGTCCTGCTGCTCGCTGGGGTCGTAGTAGCAGGAGACGTGCTGGTTGGTCTTCAGGTGTTGGGAGATGTTGACGATGACGGCGCGCATGGCCGCGCTGTCCTTCTGGCACCGGGGGACGTAGACACACTGCAAGGCGAGCAGAGGACGGCAGGTTACACCGAGCGAAACGTTCATTTGGTTGGTCAGGCTTTACGCAACAGTGAATGCTAACTAGTAGCTGTGTTTTTCCATTCACCACATAATTGCACAATTTGACATTTTAAGAATAGATTTGTTTAATTTATTGGCCAATGTTGAAAAAAGAAGAAGCTCTTTTTCAATAAAAAAAAAACTTTGGCGCTAGGATGAGGCTTCTTCTTTTGGGTCGCATTGAAATTGGTTTATGGCAAAACTGTAATGGAAGCAATTTTTTTTTCGCATCTGGTGAGTCACACGATCAACAGTCCAATGTTGCCCCTGGCACAAACGAAGACGACAGGAAGTAGTTGGAAGATGATGGCGTGGCATGTTTCTAACGGCTATCGATGAGCTAACTGGTGGATTTAGCTGCTGTTGAACATTTTAAGACCATAAAATTGAGCAGTTTGACATTTCGCGAATAAAGTTGCGCAATGGAAACACGATAATTTCGAAAATTTTGATATAAAGTTTTGGCATCCCAATGTAATGATTTAGTGTAGTTCGCAAAACTGCAGTGGAAGCACTTCTCTCATATCACACAAGTCACATGATCAACAACGAGATGTTACTACCAGCGGAAAAGATGGAGAAGTGGTATGAGGAACACGGCAGCATATTTTTAAACAGATTTTGGAAAGACCACACTTGGAAAATTGTGCTTTTTCAACGTTGGTGGAATATCGACAAAGTTTTATGCACATTTGTAAAGGAAATGCAGCTACTGGCGCAAACCACGGAGAAGAGGATAACAGGAAGCAGTTGGAGGATGATGGAGTGGCATATTAATGACTTGTCACTTGACGTCTGATTTTATTTCCATTTCTTATTCAATGGAAACAATGCAATTGCGAAGTTGTGATATTTTGAAGTGAGCTTAATATTGCTAAAATTTTGGTAGAGGCGCATTAGGTTGGTATGCACTATATAGGGGCACTGCTCTTGAAGTGGCACCAAAACAGGACAATGGCCCGTAACACTATAACGAACCCACGTTCACCTCAGGAAGTTACATCGTTGCGCCCCTGAAACCAACAGACCCTTTCTGATCAGTGGTTGGAGTGAGGCTGTCGCTGTAGCCAGCATGTCGACTCCTCCTGCCAACATTTGAGTTGACTCAGCCAGTCCCAGTGTTTTCTCTGGCGCCGGACGTACCTCAGAGTTGGCGTCCTGCGTCTCTTCGTTGTGCGACAGACGGCCGATTCGACCCGTGTTGTTGACGCTCACGTACACCTGCAGACAGGGGAACCTGGACACCCTCCAGCAGTCTGACCCGCAACTGTATGAACAGTTCATGTCGCCGGTGACCGTGGAGTTGATGACAACACACGTCCCTTCCTCTGTCCACACACTGGATCGACACAGAATAAAGGCGGTTAGTTCAGGTTGTGAACTTTGCCCAAAGAGGCAAAGAATAAAAAAAGATTCTGAAGTAATTTTTTTTTTAATTGAGAGTTTTTAGTATCTTCCCTACAGTAGAAAACACTAACTATTTTTAAAACGTGGAAATAAAAAAAAACTGGAAAGTTAACTTTGGCCAGAGGAGGGTCTTATCGTTGTCAATCACTCTCATGCTCAGCTGCGCTACAGCTGTTTCACCACAACATAGCCTGCCACGAATGCTTAGGCTAGTTAGCAATGACAGTGGATAAATGTTTTTTGTAAAACAGTATTTGGCTTTTCCGTCAGTAGCACATTAAGCAGCGAGTACACGAGGTTGATTGACAGCACAAAAATTTGACAGCACAAAAATTTTCCCCCCTGTCTGGAGGACTGGTGCATTTTTCCAGGCCACAGTTGTAGCACTGGGTGGTATTGAGCTTGAAGTCAATGTCTGCCTCACTTCAGGTTTAAAACTTCATCGAAATGTAAAGCAGGATAAGAGGTTACAAATATTGTAATAGCTTGAGCTATTATTTTGATTTTTCTGGTCAATTTTGCCTTTGCCTTTCCTGTCTGGGCCCAGAGTCCTGTCTCAATATACTTTTCTCAGTACACCTACACATGCTGATTTCCATGAGCATGCAGGTTGTTGTTTGTTTCAGCTGCTTGTTGACATCTTTTGGCTTGCAATCCTAGCAGTGGCAGGACAGAAACCCTGTAGCAGCAGTGGCAGCCCAAGAGTTTCACATTCTTTTTGTTGTTCAGGCCAGTGTGTGCATGATGAGGTCGCATCCATCTTGAAGGGATCCTGGTTGCTACCAAACTCGCCGCTGCTCCACCGCAGCACTCAGCCACTGCTGTTTGGCCTCAGGAGCTCGGCGCATGCTCTGAACAGTCTAGAAACTCTCACGCTTCATCACACATAGTGTAGGAGTCCAGCACGTTACCGCCGCTCTCCGGAGAATTCCCCAAAAGTCTGCAGAAACCATTTGGTGTCGGAATCCGATTGGATAAGTGACACAAGCCAAAACTGTTCCTCGTGATTTAACTTTCCTGTAAGGTCGCAGAGGGGGGGGGGGATAGGAAACACTGCGCAGGAATCCAGAAATGTACAATTCACTGGACTCTCAGAACCGAGACTTTATTAAATCTGACTCATCAAAACCATTTAGGTATTAAGCTGTAATTCAGACACTCCATCTCATTTCAACCCTTAAAGGTTTAATCTTCGTATGAGCAACATTTCAGTTTCCCTGTAGGTCTGACATCACCGCCGGTCAAGCAGTGCGTGACTCTGACACTTATGGTTTAAAACTCAGTCCTGTTGAAGAGAACCAGGTGGTTTAAGATGGCGGCCTGGAAGTGATGGGTCCCAGCACAAAAACAATGAATCATTTAAAGCTGCAGTATGCAACTTTTATTTAAAAAAAAAATAAAAATGTGTTGTTCTTGTTGAAACTGTCACTATGCAGTGACAGTATGAATATGAGACACATAATCTGGGAAAATTAAGCTCCTCTACCTTCACCTATTACTAAATAGAAACAACCAGTCAGAGCCAGAGGGCTGATCTCAGCGCTGTCCATCACCATTTCCTGTGGCACAGCTCATCTCTCTCCGTTTTGCCCCCTTGCTGTCTGCCTATTTTTGCTGCATTTTTCTTTTATTTCTAGCTGCCTCTGTCCCACTGGATGCACCTCTATGACACAGTACCTGTCTGCACACGAGCGTAAAACGGAGATGCCCAACACAAAATACATCATGATTGAACACAGGATCATCCCGAGTCCAAGGAGAATGGCTCGGTCTTCTCCGGGTTTGAGAGCCGTCACCGTTTTCTTCTTGTCCAAAACATCCACCTCTCGAAACTTCTGGTAAATCGACCTAAGATCAGAAAATTAAACGGCATCGTTTTTCAAAATGTTTTTTAGAAGACAAAAACAAACATAAAAAAAATAATAATAATAAAAAAAAAAACGTGGTAATGTGACGTTTGTAAAAGTACATGTTTTTTAATATATTTTGTTGAAAATATAGCCACTGATGACAACAGATAAAAGGCTTTCCTGTAATGGTAAGCAGTTTCATCTTCACAATCTGCACATTTTGCAGGGACAACATGAGGATGATTGACAGCGCTAATCCCCTCCTCCATGCTGCGATTGGTTGTTTTTGACAGGGAGCGGTGTATTTCTTCAGACACCAATAGCAGCCTCTTGATTCCCCCCCCACCCCCCAGATTATCTGTCTTTTAGCAAACTGTCATGATATGGTCACAGTTTTAATAAATGTGGAAAAAACATATTTTTCTTTTGTAAAAGTTACATCTCGTCGCTTTAAGTGTAGCTCTCTTAGCAACGTGTGAACTTTTGCATTTCTCAGTGTAAATATATTGAAAACACCACCTACCTCCTCTCGTTTTCTTTTCCCGACTCTGCGGCATTTCTGGCCCCTGCCACAAAAAACATCTTTCCTGATGACCTTGGAGCTCCTCCGCTTGCAGAAGCGCAGCAGCAGCGAGACTGCTGGAAAGTCCTGTGAAAAATTACAGTTTTATGTTCGGCTCTTGTAATGAATTCTCCCATTTATTACCTCTGTTCTGGGCTACAGAGTAAGTTAAGTCAAGAAAATGTCAAACAAGAATTTACCTTTGATGGATTTTGCTTGTGCAACACAATTTATTCGATAGTAAGCTCATTCAGTGGAGGATGAAGCTTTTTCGGCCTGCCCAGAAAGCACTCCTGTGGTTTCTAACTAAACGTCTCATTTCTAGCACAAAGAAATCCTCCGAAGGTCAAACAAAATAGCTAGAGATGGAAGGTGTTGAAGCTGATGAGGGCCGGGTGGAAAACCGACCTTCTTTATCCCCAACATTTGCGCTGTCAACACGTAGTCATCGAGTCCAGAGCGACGGTGTTTTGAAAACGGGGGAACTGTCTCACTCCGCCTGCTGTTGGTCCCATAAATAACAGCAATAAATTTGATTCAAATGAACGACTGGCTGATCTGTGGAAGGCAGCCGGGAGTTAGCCAAGGGTTTTGTGATGAGATTCAGCGGAAAAGCTTTACTGATAGCAACAATTATTCAACATCGGTAGAGAAAATGCATGTGGGGGGTACAGCAGTTCAGAAAACGTTTAGAATAGTGGAAATATGCACATTATGCCGTAAGTGTTTTGTTTTCCTAGAAGCTAACCTCCTGGTTGTCAAGTGTTCATTGCATTTGTCATAGAGACTGCCTTGGTGACAAAACTTTGTCTATGACTGTTGGTTTTTACTGCCAGAGCTCTGTATGGCTGTGAAGAGTCTGATCAATGCCTCCAGATGGGTGTGTGACTGATGAGCACCTCAGCTCTCCGGCGGCCCTGAAGTGCAAACCACTTCGACAAATAACTAAACACAACTACAAAATGAAAAGCACAAGAAAATATTCAAAAACACGAAGACATGAACGAAGCACAACTACAAATTAAGAAAACATGATGACATTAACAAAGCAGAAGAGGTGCTTAACACATCTTTTTCCGATAGTGTGAGTTGAGATGTTCTTTTCATTGTCTTTGTTTCTGGGGCTGAGTGTTGTTTTGCTCTTGACTTTTATTCTTTTTGTCTTGTTTTCATACAACACTCTGGGCTATCTTCTGCTTTTTCAGAAGCGCTTTATAAATAAATTGGGTTGTATTTGGACAGAAAGAACAGGGAGTGTGTGGAAAGTTCTCCGGCTCGCTGTGTCTACGCAGACTCAATGAGGGGTTTCCTCAGTGAACCTGAGGAACTTCCACGAGTTTCAATGAAGTGAGTCTTTTGTGTGAGAACACACCCGTAGGGGGCGCCGAGGCCCCTTCCATTGCTTCAGCAGAGAGCTTTGTTGTTGGAACTGTTTTCTGTCAGTCTTCTTGTTACTGTTAGCAAGAACTCAGTCTTAGCTGCTGTACATTAAATGTTAACTGTATCTATATAGGAGTATATGAATCATATTAATTGCTTTGCTTACCAGTTTGCTCATGTAGTTCATCCAGAAGAGTAAGAATATTTTTGCAGATCCTAATTTGATTTAAAGAAGCTGCCTTCATTTTTTGTTTTTTGTTTTACTGAATAAAATCCTGCAGAATAATAAACAAGGGACTTTTCGATGACTAATTTTCACATTTATGTCACTTTCTTTTCCCCCCACATTTCGCAGAAGAGACCAAACATTACTGGGAGACCACGCGTAGCAACACATTTCACATCTGAACAAAATCAGACATGTTTGCTGCAAAGCCCACTCTCTGCACAACAATCCACAAGAATCTGCATTCATGGCCAAAAGAAAGAGAGCCCTGCTCAAATCAGCTTTGTGCTCCGTCTTATTATTAAGATGCCTTTCTCGTGCAGAAAGGGCCCACAAACCATTGCAGCGTAGGCGGAAGTGTTCAGAATGGAAGGGTAAGAGCGATGTGTTTACTTGGGTTGCATGTGAATCAGTACAAGTCAGAAGCTGTCGTAAGACTTGTGGTTCTGTACGAGAGCAAGAATTTTGGCGACAAACTTTCATTGTGAGCCAAGCAAGCCAAGCTTCCAAACCCTGGTTTTGTATTAATTTATGAAGTCTTCTACTATTCCAGTGACCTTTAATGTCTGAAATCAAGCATGCACCAATTTTTTTTAATGTCCTATTTTGGAAGGAAACCATTTATTCTTGCAATGTATTTAAGATTGTCAAAAGATGATTCAATAGCATATTTTATGTTCAAATTAACATTTATTTATTTATTGTCTAATAATAATAATAATGATAATAATAATAATAATAATCTGAATATATTATTATTCAATATATGAATTACTTTAGTCTGGAGAAAGTTCTGACCTATTTACCCAGCTGTTGGTAAACCAAAGACAGCGATATAAACTTGCCTATCATCAGCATACAGATGTTTAGGGACGATGTGGAACTTTATGATCTGAGCTGGGAGTTTATGAAGATGTTAAATAAAACAGGACTGAGAAAGGAGCCTTGGGGAGCCCCAGAATTAAAATGTGTTTGCCCTGATGTATGATTACCAAGTGTCACAAAGTAGTCCTGGTCTGTCAAAGTTTGAAACACTTTGGTGAAAAACCCCACCAACATTTCCAGTTTATCAACACATGCTGTTGATCAGGTTGAGCTTGTAGGTTCCAATTTTTAGAGAATATCCATCTTAAATACATGCAATTACTTGGGATTTGATTCAATGTTGACCATACAGATGTTAGTTTTTTTAGTACTATTTCTAAGTAACATATGAGTTGTATATTCTACAACTGGAATGTACAACTTATCCTGTAGATCTACCTAAATTATTTGAGCTATTTAAATAATTAATTTGAGTAACATACTCAAAGCTAACATGTACAATTTTTGGACTCTTGTGGCATGTATTGAACAGTAATTTGACTGGAAAGAGCCAGGAATAGCAGCAAGTAACCCAAGACTGGAATCGGACCCAGGAAAACCACATCAAGGTCTATAGCCTGATTCAGAAATTCTGTCTTTCAGCAGCTAAACTGACTCAAAAACACAGAATTCATCTCACTTAGTTCTGGTAAATTCAATACTAATAAATTCTAACTTTAAAAAAAGGATAAATGTAGCTGAACTGTGGAGACTTAAAGGGACAGTATGTAACTTTTATAACAAAAAATATATGTTTTTCATATGTTTGTCATAACTACAAAGGTTAATTGGTCTCTCTAAATTCTGCCTCTCACCCAGAACGTTAGCTGGAGGTTGGCGCTAGGGCTCCTGCTGAACCCACTAGGGACAGGGGTGTACCGAAGATGGATGGATGGATGGATGGATGGATGGATGGATGGATGGATGGATGGATGGATGGATGGATGGATGGATGGATGGATGGATGGATGGATGGATGGATGGATGGATGGATGGATGGATGGATGGATGGATGGATGGATGGATGGATGGATGGATGGATGTTAAAACTATCACAATGTTGTGACTGTATGTAACGAGAAAGATAATCTGAAAAAATTGAAGAAGTGAGGAATGGCATGATTGACAGCGCTAAGACACTCCTCCTGGCTCTGATTGGTTGATTCTAATTAGCTCTGGGAGAAGGAAAAGCAACTAGATTTTTTGTCACAGATTTTCTGTCAAGTACTGTCACAACATAGTGACTTTCTCAACAAATACATGAAATTTTTATCTGTTTTAAAATGAGGGTTACATACTGGTATTTTAACGGACTCCTGACGAATGTTTGTGTCTCAAAATGATTTGTTTCAATTCTAGAATAGCCTGTTCTGAATTATTTAGTACACTAGTTAGGAAACTGTAGCTGCAGATTTCCAGTAAATGGCTTGACTTATCTATGGTCACCATCTCCAGCCGTGTGCTTGCTTTAATATCCTCCTACATCCCCATAAAGCTAAGCATAAGTCCCCAGCTGTGCCAAGTGATTAGTGTCAGCCAAAATGAAATAAAGGTGGTAATACATACAGTCAGAGGGATTCCACCTCCTGTCGCTGGACTGTTGAGATAATCCGGTTTTTGGACTTATAAGAGTCAGCAGTGGCTCTCCCAACAAGGTCTGGGTGGCCAGGGAGAGCAGCTGGCCACCACTCGTCTAAACTCTTACCCCAAGTGATCGGGATGCCTGCCATACCCAGCACCGTCATGTGAGTTCTCACTCCACAGTGCAAGTCCTGCTCAAAACCAGCCGGTCTTGCTTCATCACTCTGAGTAAGTGGCCATGACTGCTTGCGTCCAGTTCTATATTTATATGAGGAGGTCTGCAGGGAGGGCACAGCTTCAAAGCCAGAATTTTAAGACTTCAAATATCCCTGTTTTCAAATGTCACAAAAGCACAACTTGAATGTCAGACACTTGGACTCACGAATGTGGCTAAATTTGGCCACCAGGTGTCAGTGCAGCACAAGTTTTTTTGTTTTTTTTCCCCCCTCTTTGTTTCTTTGATTTCAGGTACTTTATTTTGTTGAAAAGTTGTTGCAACTTTTCTACTGACAAACTATATTCAATTCATAACACACAGCAGATGTTGTGTGTTATGAACCCTATTTGCATTCCTCATTAACGCAGGCAGCAGTTCTTGAAGGATAATGAAGCGATATTTGAAGCAATATATTACAAAGCATGCAATAAGCAGAACTGTGTTTCTCTTCTTCTTTGGATGCTGAAGATCAAATTTCACCTGAGGTGGAGCAACACTTGTCACGTCTTATACCCAGGCTAACGGAGCCACTTACCAAATCAGCATGGTCTGTCCACAAATCTGTGCTTGATCTCCACCATTACTATTTTTGCATTCTCCAATATTACTTTTTTATTACTGCATTTGGTTTTAAACTAGAAATTTACATCAGGACATCAGAATTGAAGGATAGATCAATCAAATAAGTAAATAAGTCAATAAAAGTCAATAACGTCAGAAATGATCATGTAGAACAATATGGAACTCAACCGATCACTAAAATAAAGTAAATTTATATAAACGTCGATGAAAAAATATTGATTTTTTTTATTTTTATATAAGTCAATCAACCAATAAATAAATAAATAAAGTTAATTAAACAAAAATACCATAAAACAATGAAAAGGTTTTCTGGAAATCAGTCAACCAATAAATACATAAATACATTTAAAAAGTTGACAAAGACCTTTCAAAAAACAATTAGGATTTTTTAAAATAGAAATTAATGAACCAATCAACAAAAAATAAGTACATAAGTTGATAAAAGTTAGTAGAAAGTTAATAAAAGATGCTGAAAAAAATTATAAAAATCAATCAAGAGATAAAATTAATAAATTAAGTTAATAACAATGTCATAAAAAACTTACTTTTTAATTAAAAAATCAATTAGCTAATAAGTAAATAGCACACAAATAAAGGCAAAGTTGCAAAAACTTCAAGAGACAATCGTGAATTTTTTTTTATAGAAGTCAATCAAACAATCAATGAAATTAAATAAATAAGTAAAGAAATGAAAGATGAGCAAAACATTCCATGAACTAAATGGACAGAAATCAATTCAGGCAATTAATAAATTTAATTCAGTTAATAATCAAACACTTATAAGTAAGTATTGGTGGTATGCCAGATATTTAAGTGAATAAATATGAACAGAACCCCTGTGTGCTCGCTTGACGAACCGCCTTTCAGAATAATGAAGGGCTTGTTTATTTCTTCTGGGCCTTCCAGCTGTTTTTCTGTCCTTTAACCCTCCGTAAGCAGTCATTTCCTCAACAGTCTGACCAGAGCAGGGACTATTCCTGGCTGACCCCAGCTGATCTTGGCTGCAGTCTGTGCGTATCCTATTTGGTTTGTAAAATTATACGAGTCCATCTCCCTGCAGCTGCAGCAAAAAAATAAAAAATCAAACTCTGTTAAAACAGAACTGCAGGAAGCTTTCCCCTTTAATTAAACCTCGGGCCAAAAACCCCCTCAAAAACAAAACATAACAAAATAAAACAACAGGATGAGAAAGACCGAAGGGGGCGGATGGTCAGGAACTTGTGTTCGTTATTGGAGGTGAAGCCTAAATATAGCCACACAGTGCGGCCCGCGTTTCCGTTTGGAGGTGAAACGTGTACGCTGGGCATGAAAGGCGATGCTGCTGCTTTGTTTCTCCCGGGAACTTGAAATAGCTCCTGCTGAGACAGCAGCGAGCTGAACTGCAGCCCCATTTCTTCGCCTCTTTTTCATTTTCACACACATCAAACGCAGACAGCCTGAGCCTTGAATGAGCCCTTTCAGGTTCTTTGCTGCATCCGTATGCTAAAATAAAGCTTCACTCCATCAGATATTCATACAGATGCGATGGGATGTGGCTGAAATAGACCGACAGGTCAACATAAAAACCCTGTGATGTCCTTCAGATCAGCTTTCTGAGCTGACACACAGGAATCATAGTCATCTTCTGATTAAACTGAAGGCAATTTCCCTGGATTGGTGGAAAATTTACTAAATTAAAATGAAAAATATGACTCACATGAAGCACAAGAGCAAAAACTGAGTGAAAAGAGTGAATCTGATGGATATTAAAGGGAGTAGCGGTTTCTGATATGGGCAACAATGGGCAACCACGCAGGGCGGCATCTTGTTGGGAGCAGCACGAAGTAAATATTGCGCTTCGTAACTAAATACTTAGTTTGGAGCTAAATATTCAGCTTGCAAACTACATTTTGAGACTAAATATTTATGTGGTAAGCTGAATAATTACTAAATAATTCATTTACAAATTCAATATTTAGTTTGCTAACTCCATTTTAATATTTAGTCCCAAACTAAAGGAAAAAGTTACCAAGCTGGCTAACAATGTAGGTTGGAGCTAACAAAATATTTAGTTAGAACTCAAATACTAGCTTGCTAACTAAATATTTAGGTTGAATTATGCGATATTGATCAATCAATGCATGAACGAATGAATGACATGGTGAAAATGAGACTTTGAACGATGAACCCAAACAGATTAAGCTACTTTGAAAAGTGGAATGTGAAGACTTGTCAGTCTGTGGACGTGCAGAGCCGTCCTGCTGCCTCCTGCAGAGACTCTGCTGACCTCTCACACATTAACGCGACCTCCACCACACCCCCACCCCACCAGGATGAGCAGGTGTAGGACAAGGTTGGAAATGTGCAAGGGCGACAAAGACCTAACTCAAAACAGTTGCGGCAGCTGTTATTTTATTGCCAGGCACCTTTCACAGCGCAATGACTCAGGGACCCGAAAAGCTAATAAATGTCTACTATAGCTATGCTTTCGACATTTCCATACTTTTTATCTGAAAGAATGAAGAAATAGTTCCGTTGCAGTTATGTGCTTCTTTGTGGTCATCTGAGCATAAAATCCCAAATAAACCCAACTGAACTTTATGGTGGAAGCGTGATAAAAAAAATAACTACAAAATTTTATTTCTTTGGAGTGAATATTGAACTTGCGGTGCCGTTTGCAGTCTCTCAGCATTTTTATGTTCAATGCAAATTACAATGAGGCAAAAAAAAAAATAAATAATAAATACGTCAGTAAGTTCTCCAGGTCTTAAAACAACCACAGAAAGTTCCAGCAACTATTTGGCTCAACAGCACATTGAGTCTTCCCAGGTGCATTCGGTGCGCGCACACACACACACACACACACACACACACACACACACACGCACACACACACACGCACACCCACGGTTTCCACAGTTTGTTTTAATTAGAGGGAGTTCTTGTGGTTCTGTGTCTGCACTGTGAAAACCTCTGGGATGATGTCTTTCAGGCGTCTCAGAGCTGGTCTGAAAGGCGCTGAAGCTTGTAATACACTTCTGGACCTACATCCCACAGCGCCCCGCAGCTTTCTTGTTGGCTTATTGCATTGTCACGGCGAATGCTGAAAAGTTCCAGGGGTATAAGCAAAAGTCACATACAGGCAACACAATACTTTATTTATTTCACAAAAGGACTTTGTGCTGGTTCAGGTTCTTGGAGAGCGAAAGCACTTTGCTGACACAAACACACCTCAAAGTTTGGGTTTTTCCTCTCTTGTAATGCAGACATGCCTCCTGTCTGCCCTCCTGTGGCACACAGGTCTGCACCATGCAAGTGCACAGGAGGTGAAACCGAATGAGTGAGATTTATAGTGACAAAGAGGAGGCGAGTCATCTCACAAGATTTGTCTCTGTAGAGTGAATAATATGTTGCATAAAACCTGGCACTCTGCATGAGGAATCTGCTCCAGACGTCCTCTTCTTCTGCTGCTGCCAAAAGCCTCTCATGCAGTGGGAGTGACGGAGCACCTATTCCTGTCGGCTGTCAGAGAACCGACCAGAAAGTGGGGGAGCGTTCTCGTTAATAAGGAGACAAAATGAAACAGATTTATGCGCTCTTTTTTTTTCTTCTAACAATCGAAGCATTATAGGAGCAATTGGCCGCAATTCAGTGGATTAAAAAAGTGGAGTTTTAAATGATACAAACTAAAGAGATGGAGGAAAAGAGCCTGAGGACTTCTGGTGTTGATTAGTACTGGGATATGATGATATGATTCATTAACTTGTGTAATAAGATACATTTTACAAATGGGAACTATTTTGTTTTTGTTTTTTTTTACATTTCTGCCATCGACTTGCACACAGACATTCTGATGTTTATCAGTGCTGAGTCTAGGATGCAATGAACAGAACAGAACAGAATAGAATAGAATAGAATAGAATAGAATAGAATAGAATAGAATAGAATAGAATAGAATAGAATAGAATAGAATCACACTTAAGATCAAAAAGTGTGAAAAATATATTTTAAAAAAACCAAGCTTAAAAAAGTAATAACTATTGATATACAAGATTATAATATATAAAATAACATGATGCTTTAACATAGCATGCTTTTCTATGCTATTTTAGCATATAAAGTATAAAGTACAAATAGCGGTGAAAACAGCTATTTTCACAGCAGTTTGACATGACATTTGACCCTGTTGAAGAACATTATTAGATGATTTGTGGTTATAAGCTTGATTCACGTTAGCGCTTTAGCATTAGCTTCCACTGAATAATGTGTTATGTAGAGCTTCAGCATTGGTAACTAACTCCGTAGTTGCCGGTATCCACCACTGAATTTAAGGATATTCTTTTATTCAAGAAGGAAAAAAAAGTACAGCAAGTTAGATACTGATCAGTGTGTGTGTGTTTAAGCCTATAAAGACAGGAATGTGAGAAAAATATCTTTCACCATGAGATATAAAGCTAGGGAAACGGATATGAGCACTGAGAGGTGCCAGAGGAAAAAAAAAAAAAAAGAGGGAAAAAAAAATCAGTGTAAAATCCAAATTGCAATAATGATGTAAGCTTGTTGTTGACTTTCCTAGTCTGAATGACTGAGCAAAGGATGGGGGGCTGGGGTGTCATTAATCCACAGCTAGTGGTGACTTGCCAAGAGAAAATGAGGTGTAGTGGGGGATGGGCAAGAAGGCTCTGTTATGACTGATTCATGATAAACTTCTGAACGCTAGGCTTTCAGTTCTCCTCGTTTTCTTCTGTCTTCGCTCTTTTTAAAGAATCCCCGCTTCGTTTTTCACCCGCCTTCTTTGAACGTGAGTAATGTACCGTGATTTGATGTTTGATTAACGCTTTCAGCTTGTGTTAAACACACGCAGGTGCACGGAGGCCTTTTAAAACTAGTCTAGAGATACCAATAAATAGTTATGTGCTCTTTAAATCCGGTTACTTAACGTTATCCTCCACACTAACCGACGATACTACAAACATACACTGTGTCCCTGCTGGCACCAGGGGTTAATAATCTTTCAAATAGGCTTTAGTGTCTGTCTGACGCTCTGAAATAACAGTAGTTACAAGCAGCCCATTTTAGCATGACAGGTCACTCCGCTGTGTGTCTGAAGCCGTTGCTGGGCTCTTACCGCCGGGTTTTAGCTTTAATATTATAACCTCACCATAGTTCATCTATGCGCTAAAGGGAGCCACCCTGCAATGGATTAAAGCGACATCATGGTCTGATTTGAGCGTCAAAGTGAATGGAAGATACGGTCTGTTGGAAGTTTTAACCCAAGTAGGTATGACATTGTAGCTACACTGTCATTAGCCTATTAGCCTAGCATGCTAGGTTTATCCAGTTAGCCAGCTAGCTTGTTGGCAAGTCCACGGGGGTAGCAGCCTGACGACCTTTTGGCTCGAGGCAGGAATTTATGTTAGAGAGGGATTCAAATAATGGCAATTAGTAGTACTAAAGCAATAAAAATAACAAGCACAAATGCGAAATTATTACAATAGGCACGGGACGCAAAAGCCCGCATCAAAATAAGTAAGCCGTACCCCGCCTTGACTGACTGGCATGTGTGTTGACGGGTACACGCAGCGCCATGCAGAACTGATTACACACGCATGGTAGCCAGGGAGCTAAAGTTACACGGCTTTACACTACCTCTGCGATAACTTTAGTTTCCGAAACCACTGAGTTGCAGTAGTTAATCTGAATAGAAGGCAGTTCCCAGGAATTCCACGTTGTTGTTTGTCTGTTTATTTATAGAATGGCCGTGATACTCCCGTGTGCCCACGAACTGGGCTGGTTCGCCTGATGTCCACTCTAAAGTTAGGTTAGCTCCTTCTGCTAGCCGTTCTGAACAAGCACGGGCGCGTCTTTGTGAATGGAAATATTACCATATTAAAATGTTTTATTCTTTTTAATTTTTTTTTAGTATTTTTTAAAGTTAAACTCATACACACGTACTTATGTTAATTTTGATAATTATAAATATAATCTCTTTAAAATTTTGAATACTATGTCAAACAAACAAAAAGTGAAAAAAAATTTAAAAAGTGTATTTTTGACAGAAGTGTAACGCTATCGCCGAGATCAGGATGTAGAAATCTGCTGACTGGACAGTTTCCCTTCGTGGTCACCGACAAGCTCCGCAGCCTCACAGCTGTGAGCTTTTAGAGACAACAGGAAGTCTGTCTGGCATCAATATCACCATGTGAACCAAGTCTGTGTTTCCCTGTTCTAAAGAGTTGTGAAGACATTGAAGGCAATCGAGCTCCAAACAAAAGCTTCAGATTTACAGTTTACACCTCAGAGTTTTCCTCTTGTTGGTGGTTGATGTAGATCCTTTGATTGGCTGGTTCCACAAACCATTCGTCTTCATCATTCACAAAAGCTTCATCACTCAGCTTTTGTGAGTGATGAAGATGTCCAGGAAGCAATCTGGACTTCCTGAACACCTTCAGCTGCAGGATTTGTCGTTACAGTTTAGTTTTAGGTTTTTGTTGTGACTTTTAGTCTATTTATGTTTGTTTTGATTCGTATTTAAAGTGGGTTTGCTGTTTTTCATTAGTTAGACATCGTTTTGTTTTTATCAGTTACTGAAGACGTCTTAGATTTTTTCATTCTTTGGTGAATGTTCAGGTGCAGAACGTATTCAATTGAACGATGAGGCTCATTTGTCTGAATTAAAGCACCTTTTTGAAAATAACCTTAAAACTGGCATTAAACACTTTTCAATGAACTCCATTTCTGTGTTTAAAAAGTTTTTAATTTATCTGATTTATCTGAATTTTCTGGTCTAAAATGTCACATTTTCATGACTATGAGTGGAAAATCTTCATAATTAGCAGAAATGAAGGCTTGAAAACATCAATTTGTGTGTAAGTAACGTATATAAACTTCACTTAGTGAAGGAGTTACTGAAATAAATGAACCTTTCAATCGTACAGAATGTCTCTACGTGTATAGGGCAATGGTTATTTGACCATTTGATTATGCAAATGTGAATACAGTTATAAAGTATACAAAAACAGTTTTTAAACTATTCTTCATTTTCCACACAATGAAGGACAGCAGCCTAATGGCTATGAGTAAACTAATAAAATCTGTGCAGATAATCCTTCTTACTATTCAACTCAGTTAAAAATAAGAAGAAACTTTTGTTTTCTTTTTTGATTTGGTTTGTTTTCTAAATGAAATATCCCAGGATATTCCAGGATCTCAGCTTTCTGCCCTCTAGACACGAAGTTACCATAAAACAGACAAACCACGTTTTTGGGGAATATTTCGCAAATCTTAATTTTTTTAAGTAGCTATGCTCTTCTGACATACTGTCGCTCTACTAACTTGAGAAGTTGTCTTGCTGCGTCAATTTTCTGAAAAGCGGCAGTTTGAAAGAAGCAAAGCGACACTGCAAAGTGCAAATACGGAGCATTTGAAGGCTCAAGAAGATGACTGTGAACATTCAGTCTCTTTTTGTTCTCCATTTCAGGGTCCAGAGACGAGGCAGCCATCATGTGCAACTGAAGACGTCTTGATGATCACATGGGTAGTGTATTGATGACCACATTCCTATTAAGAATTGAGAAAAGAAACGTTAAATTGATTCTGTACATGCAGTTGGGTCATTTTGTGTCATTTGTTTTATGAATCCCAAAATTCCAGGCTTTGAAACTCAGTTAATTGACCGCATACTTTAGCCATCAGTCAGCATAATTCTGGCTCTTTATTTGACCACTCTCAATCTATATTGGTTGGTTTTCTGTATGTTGATTGGAGGTTTCATTATTTCATTCACTTTGTTGGTCTCCCTTAATCAAATTCCAGAGGTGTCAATGTGAAATCAAACTGATGTGGACCAAAAACATAAAAACATAGGTCTCGGTTTGGTTGAAGTGAACTCCGGTGCGGCTTAAATTCATATGTGAATCCTCTCCAAAAGCAAGAAGCGGACTATAATGCAGGGCATTCTGGGTAAATACAATGAGAGTCTAGTGCCAGCGGGAGATATTGCTTATGTTTTTTTACCCCCCAAAAAAGAATTTTACAACTACTAAAATCTGACGCTACTGCATTTTTGTTTTCATTTTGTGAAGAAGGAAATTGCATTAAATTCTTCTTGAGTGGTTTTTGGTGCAGCGCCCCCACAAGTGATGGGATGAACAGTTTTTCAAAGTGTTTAATTCAATTGACAGAGTGAAGTGTGAAAGTTAATTACAGTAGCTGAAAATAAACCAGATGTTGCCATTTTGGTCCCCACTGGAACCGAGTCTACCAAACTATCAGGTGTGAAAATGCCTTAAATGCCACACCACAAACTAATTGAAAAACTGTTCCCCTCCACACCTGTGGTGGCGCTGCATCAAGAACCACTGAAGGAAACTGAAGACACAGAGCACAACTTTCTTCTTCACTAAATGCAAGAAAATATGGAGTAGTATCAGATTCTAGTGGTTGGAGAATTTCTCTTTTGCCTTTAAAAAAAAAGAAGCTTTTTTTCCCTCCAACGCCAGACTCATGTTTGCTTTGATTGTATTTACCCAGAATGCCTTGCCTTACAGTCCATTTCCTGCTTTTGAAGCGGTTTCCGGTCTGCTTGGTGTTCACATATGAATTCAAACCACACCAGAGTTCCCTTCATCCGAACCGAGGTCGAGGATTTTAGTCGGACCAGAGTTCGCTTTTTTAAATCAGAGTTCGATTACAAACTCACGCCTCCCCAAATGAACCGGACTTCATATGGAAACGGACTGGAGTTGGATTAAAGCGGACTGAACTGGACTGGTGTGAATGCATGTAGGATCAAACACTGAGTTTCATCTCTGCCAGCGCTTGTGTAGAATAACCTGAAATATGCTGAGTCGTATTGTTGAGGCTCAGTAGCCAGCTGGACTCTAACCGGCTGCTTTACTGCTTCCTGGAGGCCTTTTCCTCCATTCCAGGCCTCCAGGTTTAGCTGGCGTTGGACATCAGTCTTTAGGGACATAGCTGAAGACGTGTTGACTCATTCAGCGGGCTGGCAGAATGCAAACAGTGGACGTTCTGTCCTTTTTCCACTCTCCTTGTTTATTCCGACATTTCCATTTAAACAGCGTAGGTTCTGCCAGAACAGGAATAGAGTACAAACACAAGCCGTGCAGGAATCACTTCCAGATGTAGGTTAATGAGTGGAAACCGGTGGGCCTGGCTTCAGCGACAAGGCATGTGCCTTTAGTGAAAGTAGGGTGGAAACAGAAAATATCATTCCGGGTTGGGATTTTTCTGAAGTTTTACAGTTTGTTTAATTCGCTTCTGTTCGTGTTTTACAGGCTACTGACCTGTGCTGACCCGATGGTTTAATCAGCAGGACTAAAAATGAGCATCAGCAGCGATGAAGTCAACTTCCTGGTTTACAGATACCTACAAGAGTCAGGTACAGCTGCTTTCTGTGCCATCAGAAAACCTTGTAGAGTCGATATAAAATGATTTCACATTCGCTGCTACAGCTAACACCAGCTAACCTTTGGACACTACGCTAATGAGTGTCTGTCCTACTTTCCGATTTCTCCCACCATCCTCCAGGCTTCTCCCACTCAGCATTCACCTTTGGCATAGAGAGCCACATCAGCCAGTCGAACATCAATGGAGCCCTGGTGCCCCCTGCTGCCCTCATCTCCATCATCCAGAAGGGCCTGCAGTATGTGGAGGCCGAAGTCAGCATCAATGAGGTCCGCTTCCTTTTAATTAGGAGAAAAACCTTCTCCGTAGTTTCGCTCCTTTTCCCAACGTCAGTCCTCCTACGAACGATGACGCGCTTCTGTGCTGTGTGACTGTGAAGCTTGTTGTCTCTGTCTAGGACGGGACCCTGTTTGACGGACGGCCCATCGAGTCACTGTCTCTGATTGACGCTGTCATGCCGGATGTGGTCCAAACCCGGCAGCAGGCCTACAGAGACAAACTGGCTCAGCAGGCGGCAGCAGGTAGCAGCAGCAGCACGGGGCCACAGGGAGGTTCCAAGAATGGGGACGGGGGACCCGCTAACGGAGAGGAAAACGGATCACATGCCTTAGCCAGTAAGCTAACTCCACGCACACCATTCTGCTCCTTGTGTGATTTGTAGGGAATTTAGGATAAGTCAAGATAAAAGTGCTCTGAGAAGTGAGGAAGCTTTTTTCTACTCAGAATGCTTTAGCATGCATCCTTACAAAATATTAAATTCTAAAATTATAGCCTTGAAATGTCTTAAAGGAGCAGCATTATGTAAAATCTACTTTTTTTTAGTTTTACATGAAGTTATAATGCTATTCCCCCATCAAAACCACATCTGGAGTGCTATTTTCATTCTTTCATGTATGCTTGATAAATCTTTTAATCTCCATGGCAATCATTCAACTGTGCAAAACGCCTGATTGGCCCTCGCCCTGCCTTCAAGATGTAGCTCCTCCTCTGAGCTGCAGTTTCAAAGCTTCTGCGTCATGGAGGCTTCCTTCCCCGCAACTCCCGCACGCAGCTCCTTCAGACTAGCCAGCAGCAATTAGCTTCTGGTGGAACTGTACCTACCTCAGTGCAGCGCTGATAAAATTCTCTTGATGACTTCCTGAAGGCGGAGTTTCAGAATGAACAAGAGCTTCTTAAAGAGACAGAGGCACAATTGCCAAGCATTATATTGTAAAATCAAATTTCTTTTACATTATGTTTGATATATACAGCATTTTCATATCAACTCAAGGTGACATAGTACTTGATTGTGTTAAATACTGGTGCTGTGTCTCAAAAATACAGGCCGCTCCTTTAAATACATAAATAAAATTGTATACTTGCATATGTGGCTTTCTTCCCCCTTGAGACAAAATATCAAGTCATAGAGCCAAGAAAATGTCTCAAGTGCTAAACAAAAGTTGTTACCATGACAACCCTGGCAGATCCTGGAGTCATATTAAAGCACTTTGTGATAGTCACTCTCAAAATGGACATCCTGCATGTTCCCCTGATCTAAATCCCAGAGAAGCCACTCACTTCATGGAAGCAAGTTATTGTGGTGAACAACAGGAAGAGCACCACTTCTCATCCTTTGTTTTGATATTTTATCTTTCTTTTTTTTTGTGTGCGTTTTTTTTCTTCCAGATATGTGAACACAAGTGTGTCATTTTTTTGTATTCAAGAAAAATTTAAATAATCTAAAATCAGTATCGGCAGCTCAGTGCTGAAACACCAGAGTGTAGTGTGTGGGTCTGACTGATTATTTGTGTCATAGCCAGCGAATCCTTGGTTTGACTGTGTTCCCTTCTCTCTGCTGTAGATAACCACTCAGAGATGATGGAGGTGGACCGGGATGTGGAGATCCCCCAGAGCAAAGCCATGGTCCTGCGAGGCCACGAGTCGGAGGTTTTTATCTGTGCCTGGAACCCGGTGAACGACCTCCTCGCCTCTGGGTCAGCATCGCCTTTCTGTGTTTGGAGCGTGTTTCAGAGCAGTCGTGGCATGTTTAATCGAGTTTCTCAGAAAAACGTAGTCCATCTTATGCTGAGACAAAGACAGACTTTGAAATGGCATGAAGAACTAAATTAGACAGCGAAAAATACATTAAAAGTGTACACTTGTCGATGCAAGAAAAAGAAAAATCGCAAATATGAACCCAAAATAGCGGTCGACCACTCTTCATTTTTCTACATCAAAAAACGCAGAAGTATTTTGACAATTAATCCTATTTCTACATGTCTGCATACTGCTGCTAATGGAAATGATCCTGATCTGATGGGGTTTTATTTCGCTACCATAGCAACACATGAATGCTCGAGGTAGATATCCCAGGGAAAGATCTGGCAGCAGAAATCACACCTCGTCTTTGACGCTGCAGTTCACAGCGCCTCTGATCCGTCGACATGTTTTTCTGCTTCCTGAGTGTTTTCTTTTCATCACACACGCGTTTGCTGGAGGAAAACACTGTTTCTTTTTGCTCCTGTTTAATGAAGAAGTCAGAGTCACCCATTGTGTTGTTCTGAGTCACAACGCCCACCATTTGAATCAGCTGTGCTTTTCTCTGCCGCTCCGCGTTAACATCCCCGGAGCTCGTTAGTGCGGCTCCACGGAGATTAAAACAGAATTAAAAACAGACACTGTCAAATAAACACGCCCTGTAAAAGTGGACATATGGTGAAGAAACAATGACAATTCAGATAGAAGGCTAAATATGCAGGGGAAAACCCCCCTCAATTGACCAAATAAATAACTTGTTTTTTCTTTTTTCTTTGCCTTGTAAATAGTCCCTTTCTGTTTATTCTGATCCAGGTCAGGAGACTCGACGGCGCGGATCTGGAACCTGAGTGAGAACAGCACAGGGGGCTCCACCCAGCTGGTCCTGAGGCACTGCATTCGGGAGGGCGGCCAGGACGTCCCCAGCAACAAGGACGTCACCTCGCTGGACTGGAATGTGAGTGTCTGCAGTCTAACCTAGAAATGTTCCTAGATCTGGACATTAAAGCGCTGAAGACCTTCCATCTCGTCACAACAATTTTTAATTTTCCCACGAGAAAAGTACTATTTTCTTCCTCTCAATTTTTAAGTAGCATAATATACATCTTTTGGTTTTATTATTATGATCATTGGTTTTTATTCATTCATTGAAACTTTTATTTTTAAACAAACATTTTGTCTTTTAATATTTAATATTTTTTTCATTTATTTAATCTATTTTCATCATTTTGATTCATTTTTAATTTCTGTATTTGTTCTTTTTTATTTGTGAAATGCGAGTGTCTTGTATCCCAAACTGTAAAATATGGTGGTGGCTGCATCATGCTGCGGGCACAGAGAAGCTGCTCAGACCTGATGGGGAAATGGGCGGAGCTAAATACAGAGCAATCCTGGGCGGGAAGGAGCAGAGCAACAACCTTCAGCAAAACTGAATGGTTCAGATCAAAGCATAGACAGGTGTAAGAATGGCCCAGTCAAAGTCCAGACCTAAATTAGTATAGTACGAACAAATGGCAGGCGATTAGCAGCAAAAGGTAGAAAGAAAATTCAGGTCACACAGACGACAGTTTTTACTACAAGGCTTCATCTTTTTGGACTGTTTTCCATTATTAAAAAAACCCATAAAAATAAAGTTGTATTGGTTATGGGGTGTGAATACTTTTACGAAGCATTGTGTAATAATTTATTATTTGTCAATCTAACCTGTAAAGGACATTACCTATAGTTATCGGTTGGGATCAGCCACAAAACTGGAATCCCTGTTGCCAGACATAATGCCATTCTTCCAACAAAACAAATACTTATTATTCCACTGCTAAGGTGACGCACAGACGTAAAACGAAAGCAGACGTTTTCCTCTTAAAGTCTCACATGAAAAAACAATAAACTTAATAATTATGAAGGTGAAATCCATTCAAATGGCAGCCTGAAGCTAACAAGAATCCCATCTCTCTTCCAGAGTGAGGGCACATTACTGGCCACCGGCTCATACGACGGCTTCGCCCGGATATGGACAAAAGACGGTAACACACACACACACACACACACAAACACACAGCTTTAATCACACGGCAGCTGCACAAAACACACCTCGTTTATCTCCTTCCCGGAGTCTGATTGTTGTGTTCTTCAGGAAACTTGGCCAGTACTTTGGGTCAGCACAAAGGGCCCATATTTGCACTCAAGTGGAACAAAAAAGGCAACTTCATCCTCAGCGCTGGAGTAGATAAGGTAAGGCTTATTGATTTTCAGCTGGGGTTTGGCTGCTTGCCATATTTTTGGGATTTCAAACTTTGAATTGATTGTTCTTGGGTTTGTTTTCTAGATCTGAAGCAGAAAAGCTGTTTTCAAGTGAAGATAGCTGCACTTCCATTTACAAATATGCAATTAACAATAATAAATATAAAGACAGGGAAAGGATGAGACCACACATCAGCTTCTTGTTGCTCTAAATCAGTGGGTCCTAAGCCCCGGGCCCGCAGACCAGTACCGGAAATAATTAAATATTTCTGTCTAATAGCCCTAACCCTGAAGGATCTTTTATTTTGAAAATCCTTTAACCAGATTATCTCGGTTACGTCTCGTGCGCCAACATTGATCCCACAAGCAGCAAAATGAGAAGAGACAGGAGAATGGATTTAACCCGTACCGGAAGGTGACTCCCACATTCCCAGCCCACTCTGCATGATATGTGGCGACTGGCTCCATAATGAGGCAATCAAGTCTTCAAAGTGCTTCGCCGCCTCAGGTGTTATTGTTTTCCATCACTCCCAGATGCAGTTTGAAGGCAGGTTCACAAAGAAAAGGCTTTGGATAAATGACGGTGTGCACTCTATTTGCTGCATTAAGCACTAGACCAGGCTCTCAGTTGCGCAATGTCAGCTGTTTTGGGATTTCCCTCCATGCTTCCGTTACTACGCAGTCTGATTGGCTACCTGTCACATTTAATAGGTAGCCATTTAACAGGCTGCGTTCTCGCTCTCTGTCAGGGAAACCCCCACAGGCTGTGACAGTCGGCCCCCTCCTGGGGACCGCAGTAAAATTGTCAAGCCTTGACGTGGATGTAAAAAGTTTAGAGATTGCTGCTTTAAATGTTTCTGAAGAGTCAGAAACGCATCAATTGATGAGTAAACACTGCCATCTAGTGTATTAAAACATAACAACATGTTAACTCTATATTAGGCAGTGCTGGTTAGACTCTTAAGAACAGAAATAAAACAGTTTCATTGTAATTGCATGCAAATTAAAGCAAAAATGCAAAACATGATCTCATAATCTTTTCTTATTCGAAACATAAGAGCAATTATTTTATTTTACTGTTAAATCCACGTAGCAGATCATGAGTTGCGATGTTATTGATTACATGTATTAATTGTTAAGTATAGAATACATTTTAAAGAATACACTCCTGTTGTGCAGAATTATTTCATAATGCGTAACAAATAAACTCACTTAAAAAAAAAAACATTTCCTGATCCTAGTTGCTTCTTTACCTCCGTCCTCTTGCAGTCTTCTATTGTAACAACAAAGGGAAATGCAGCTGTAAGATGTTGATTCAATATGTGGAGATAATAGCCAATTATTGATTATTAATTAGCTTTTTGGGCTATTTCATTTAGCGTTTCATTTAGTAGACTTTTTTAGTTTCGGTGACTCTAGCCTGTTTGAAACATCATCAATATTCTCCTCACTTACAGCACAGGTTTGAGCGTCTAATCATTGATAGAAGCAGCATTCTTTAATTCCTCTCCTATATTATTGGATTTTAGGATTCCTAATCTTGCACATCACATTTTTCATTTGTTGCTTGCACAGATTGTAGACACGTTGCATGTTGTCGTTTACATCCGGAAAGGCCCACAAGTGTGATGACGTAATAAAAGGTCAATTTAAGGGTTTTATAAATCAATACAAAGGCATTCAAAGAATTGTTTTAAATCCAGCCCTGTTTCCAATCTGCATATATCATCTTATTTTACCTTGTATTTTCTTAATTTCTAATCTTGAGCTTTTTTCTTTTTTTTTTTTTGTCTGTCAGTTTTGTCCCTCTGCACTTTTTCATGTACAATGCCCAAAAAATTATTTCCCCTTCTAGCACCGCTTTTAACATATCCAACAAGATTGTTGATGAAATTCTGGATAATCCTGACTCTGCACTTTTTCTGTTGTCTCGGAATCATTCAGAAAACACAAATTTCAAGTCTTTGTTTCACTTTTCAAATTGGGACGTAAAGTAATGGAACTCTCTCTGTCCACACAGACAACAATTATCTGGGACGCACACACAGGGGAAGCAAAGCAGCAGTTTCCTTTCCACTCAGGTGAGAGACAACAGCCAGCTGCTATTTTTCACTCCACTTTTCAAGTCGCACTCTCATTTTCAGACGTGTTAGAATTTGAGATTCTCCCTGTCATCAGGTGTTTTTACAGCCAGACAAATATGTCTGATGTCGTTGCGAAGATAATCTTCTCACAGTTCACGTAGATCTGATCGCAACAGGTTAGCATAACATTTTATATCCAGATTATGACTTCCATGTGTTTGTGTGTTTCTGTGCCAACAGCACCAGCTCTGGATGTGGACTGGCAGAACAACAACACGTTCGCCTCCTGCAGCACAGACATGTGCATCCACGTGTGCAAGCTGGGTCAGGACAGACCCGTCAAGACCTTCCAGGGACACTCGGTATGACAGCCGTCACGATTCTCACGCACGCCGCGCGCAGCACGGTGGAAACACGGGGTCTGCTCAATCATGTTCACCCTCAGATTTCAAACCGAAAAGTGTTAGAACATCAAACCAACGCTAATGTCAGATAGAGATAACAGTATGTGTAAAATTGTTAAAGCTTCATTATGCCACTTTTATACAAAGTATGTTTATTACATATTTGTTAAAACTGTTGCCATGTTGTGACGGAGTAATATCAATCTCCTTCCACCTCCTCTTTCAGCTACTGTTGCCGTCTGAAGAAATGCACCGCTCCTGGTCAAAAACAACCAATTAGAGCCAGGAGGAGGGCCTTAGTGCTGTCAATCACCTGCATGTACTCGCAGCTAAAAACAACTTAAAATTGTTTATCCGCCATCATTTTTTTGCTATGCTAACTAGCCTTAGTATTTATCGCAGGCTGTGCCAGCTGTGGCTTTGCAGAGAGCAAAAGCCACACAAAATTGTGATTGACACCACTAAAACCCACCTCTTGGTTTTGATTGGTTGTTTTTAGTTAGAGCTGTAAGAAGGCAGAGGAACTCCTTTTTTTTCCAGATTATCCACCTCTTACCAAACTGTCACCACATATGGCGACAGTTTCAATAACTATGGAGAAACATATAGAATTTTTTTAATAAAAGTTAAATATTGCAGCTTTAAGTCAGACATAACTGTTAAGGCTGAGCTTAGTGTCCCTTGATTTCTACCAGTTATAAACAATCAAGAACCTTTAAGTAGAGTCTCTCCAGTAATAGGAATTGGGATAAGCTATAATAAAAGCAGCATTGCAGTGGACAAAGAAAGCTTTTGCTCTAAAATAGTTGGTGTCTTTTTTCTTCAGCATCTCTAATTCTTATTACATGTTCTTTATTTTCATTTAAATCATGCTCATATAGAATGAAGTGAATGCCATAAAGTGGGATCCCACGGGCAGCTTGCTGGCCTCCTGCTCAGACGACATGACGCTCAAGGTCTGCAGTCTGTATTCCAACATGTTTGTTAATGTACATTATGTCGAATTCAGAGATTTATTCCAGTCATTGCCGCCAATCCTTCTGTTGTAGATCTGGAGCATGAAGCAGGATTCTTGTGTCCATGACCTCCAGGCCCATAGTAAAGAAATCTACACCATCAAATGGAGCCCCACCGGCCCTGGGACCAACAATCCCAGTGCAAACTTCATGCTGGCCAGGTACGAGTTCAGAGATGCCGACTTTTTTCTCTTTTTTTTTTTTTTGCCCTCACAAGGCTCTCGTTACACCACAGATCATTTTTACTGTTGGAAAATCTGCCAAGCACTGAAACGTGGATGTATTTAAATGAATAAAAATTTTATTTGTTGGTTCTCTATTAATAAGGCAAGTAGAAAATAATATTTTCTACTTGCCTTTCTTTTTTTAAAGAATAAACTGAATTTTGTGTTTCCTTGCAACAGTTCAAAGTGGAAGGATAATACATCACTCAATACTAAAATTTTTTTTAACATGATTTAAGTCTGTCTATAAATACTGTGAGAAATTTACACTGTATTTGATCACCATTTATCAAAAGTCCAGTTGTTAAATTGAATAAAGAAATGGCAAAAGGGTGCATATATTTTGCTTTATTTTGATTTAAAGTCAATTAAAATATCAGAGAAGGACTTTTTTAATTTTATTGAACTCTTCTGCTGTGTGCAATCAATGGTTGAAGTCTTTTCCAAATAAAATACATTAATGTTGTCTGCCAACAGAACAAATTATTAGCTTAAAAACTTCCCAGCTATCATTAATCTGCAAAAGAAACAATAGTGGTCCAAATGCTAAACTTTGGGGAACCCTGTTTGGGCCTCTCATAAGGATGCAGGACAAAACTGGAGTGTTTAACTAAAGCAGAAGGACCGTTAGCAGCCTGTCACTGTGTGGAAAGACTATAAAAATGTATATATTTATAATATGATATTGATGCAAAATTTTTAATTGGTGCATCTCAAATATTAATTGATCAATTTTTTTGTTTTACGATTCCTAGAGGTGCACCAGTTACAGTTTTGTGACCAATCTTTAAAACTTCAAAAAAACTGACCTGATGAAAGTTTTTCATGATTATAACTGACACTGCCAGGTGTTAAACTTCTACAAATCTAAAAGGTCAACATTTACTTTTAATCTTAAAGTCTTATTTAAGTGAAAAATGCGATTCAACACCCGCGATGCAAAACCCAAAATTAAATAAATCGGGCCGGCCGACCGATCCATTGGTGCACCCATGACCATTTGGTGTCACTACAGTTTCTGGTCATTAGTTATATATATATTTTGCAGCCCATAGCTTCATATTTGTGACTACGTCGGCTTTTCCTTCCCTTAAAGCGCGTCGTTTGACTCGACCGTGCGCCTGTGGGACGTGGAGCGTGGGGTGTGTATTCACACACTGACCCGCCACCAGGAGCCCGTCTACAGCGTAGCCTTCAGTCCTGATGGCAAGCACCTGGCCAGCGGCTCCTTCGACAAGTGTGTTCACATCTGGAACACTCAGGTCTGGAATAAACTCTGCTTTACTCACAGATAGAAGCTGAAACAAGGCTGCAACTGTATTTTATACACGCTGGTCTAAGAAAAGTTTCTATGTGTCTGCAGACGGGTGCTTTAGTTCACAGCTACCGGGGGACCGGTGGGATCTTTGAGGTGTGCTGGAACGCCACAGGCGACAGAGTAGGAGCGAGCGCGTCAGACGGATCGGTGAGTTTTCCTCTCTGTATATATCATATATATACACATACATGTATTATCTTTCAGTTCAACTAGATGGAGCCACTCCCTAAAGGACAGGAGATTTTACAGCAAAAAAAAGCACAATTTTATTCAATTAAATAATTTTAAAATGCACTCTAAATATTAATAATGTGGTCAATGACTGCTAAAGCTGCGGTATTTAACTTTTATAAAAACGATTTCTTTTGCATATTTGTTGAAAGTTTCACTATGTTGTGACACTTTGTTGCAAGACAGATGATCTGTGAGAAAATGGAGCCCTTCTGCCTTCTCACAGCTCTAACTAGAAACAACCAATCAGAGTCATGAGGTGGGTCTTAGCGTTGTCAATCACAAGCTAATGTAACTTTGCTCTCAACTTTGATGCACAGTCTGATTTACCAAATACGCTGAAAAAAAAACAAACATTCCTTGTAAAAGTTAAATACTGGAGCTTTAAAGCAGAAGATGATGTGTTTTGTTCAAGAACCTTTTTCTATCCAATTAATTAGCTATTACAAAAAAATGAACAGATCAGCCCTACAATGAATAGATGTTAAGCCAGGCAGAAAGTATTACTTTATCTGAAAATGCAGCCTTTGTTAGAAATGATCAAAACACAAGAAAAAACCCATTTAATTTTAAACAATAAAAAGTCTTATTTTAATTTAAAAGACTATTTGCATCTTTTCATGTATTTCTGATATTGAGTAAATAAGGCTTGTGGTTAAATGAAAAATCTGCACAGTGTGTAATCGATTTGATTAATCGATTACTAAAATAATCATTAGCTGCAGTCTTAATTTGAATACTCAGTATCCTCGCACCTCGATTCACATTTCCTCTCTATTAGTAGCAAACTACAAAAACAGGCTCTCTTCTGAGTAGAGGCAGGCCGAGATACGCCTGTCGGTGTTTTCCCAAACCAGTTCACGTAGTTTCACCCAACCTAACGGTCTGAAACCCGAAGTCTCTGCGGTGGAGACGTTTTTTGTGTCAATGCAAGTCTGCAGACTGAGAGCAGAGCATCTCCCAGTGTGAACTGATAAGAAGCTGCCACCCTCCAGATGCTGAATGTCAAATGAAAGGGAAAACACCCCGTCTAACTTTGTGGTTTCTGTTTTACAGGTTTGTGTGCTCGAATTGAGAAAATGACACTTGGGTGTTGTGTAGCTGTGGACCGACTACGAATGTGTACATAGCCAAAAAGACTGTCCCTGCCTGTCCGCCACACTGCTGTCTGTCCCATCAGGCTCCGCTTCTTCATGGATGTCCCACAGTTCGTCACGCCTGCGCCGTACAGACATGGGAAGACTTTCCCAACGTCACTTGGACCCCCATTGGGTCAAACAAAACTCCGGCATCCTTCTGTTTTCTCATGTCAGTCAGAACTGTCGCTGCGTGCACATCATACCCATCAGAATCTGGCAGCCCACACAGAACTACATTTGGACCTCACTGGGTTTATCTTGTGATGTGTAAGAACGAGGCCAGGGAAGGTTTTGAGAAGCTCATCTCTTCATTCACAGAGCTATTCATTTCCTGTTTGTGAAATATGCCAACTCATTCTTTTAATCCAAGAGATGTTTTTCAGTTGTTGTCGGTTTTTAGAGTGAGCAGAGCCTTGCAAAAGTATTCACATCTCTTCAGTTTTTAAGTCGGAATCATAAACTTTCCTTCTATTTTATTGGGACTTTGTGTGATGGTCCTACACAAATAAGCACATAGTGAAAAATTTGGAAAACAGCGTTAGCTTAGCCAAGTTGAATAAATAATACCAATGATTAAGTCTTTTCTCAGATTCCTCAATGGATTTAGGTCTGGGCTTTGACTGGACCACTCTGTCAGTTGAACCTCCATCCCAGTCTGAAGTCTTTTTCATCAAGGTGTTCAGCTCCATTCATGCTCTGACCACCTTCTCCATTTCTACAGAAAAAAAATAAATAATGCATCGCCACACCATGATGCTGCCACTACCATTTTTAACTATTGGGATAGTAAAGTGAGCCTGATCTGTTTCACATAGATCAAAACTTTAGGTTGGTTGTTATTCTGCCAACTGATCTGATCTGGTTATTTTAAAGGCAGTTTTCAATCAGAGTATATGAGGCTGAATACAAATACACACTGCAATTTTTTTTCCCCATTTTTCTAACACTGCGCAATTAAGCTACACTTGATGTTGGTCCATGACATAAAACCCAATAACATACATGGTTTTACCATGACAGAATGTTGAAAAGCTTCAAGAGTCATGACTGCTTTTGCAAGTGACAGTATTTGATAACCATCCTAGCTGTTTTCATTTAAGGGGGAGAACCGATTGTTGTTTTCTGGCCGATCCCTGATATTTAAAAAGCTTGACCTGCCAATTACGATTTTGGCCAATATTGATCAATATTTTTTCATTTTTGGTCCCAAAAAATTTTTTGAAAATACCAATAAAAGCCCCTAAGTTAGAAGTAGATGAAATCATTTTTTCCGACCAACGCAAATTTAAGGACGTCGGGCCAGTTTGTCGGTTTTTTACGAAATCATTTTTCGGGTGCTTGCGAAACTGACTATTCAAAATGTCTAAAAGTTAATCTGCTTCAGATCTGAGGTAAAGTGATAAACCTGTTAGTCACATGCATTTTGCTGACACAGCCGTCTGTTAGCTGTAGCTGTGCTTTGTTTCTCTCCTGGTGAAACCCAGACGGTGATGCAACAGTTGCTCTTTCCCTCACTTTCTTCTAAAAGGGCGTCTTCTCTTTGCTAAAACGGCTGTACCCGGTTTCCCAGTACCCGACCTACGTACCGCACTGCAGTCGACAGTTGTTGCCACTCATTATCACAAACACACAGGTGACAGACAATTTGTTTGCGGTGTTTAGGTTTTGAAGACAAGTCCGGCTGTTGATGAAGCGAACATCCAGACGTATGCTGCTTCGTTGAATCTTATAAGATGCCATTGCACCGTCATAGCTGCGACCAAAGCAGTAGGCGTTTGAAGTGGATTTGCACTTTAGCCTAAACTGAGGGAAGATTCAATCAATCTGAAAATTGTCTTTTGAAGCAGTTTTATCGGTCATCTTCAACTCACATCAATCAAAAAGGACCTGTTACATATCAGCTACAAAAAATGCTTGTACCTTTATTTGCATTGATAAAGCAAGCCAGCAGTGTCTGAACTGGATTCCTCTGACAATGAAATGGTATTTTATCCCTGTTTGGTTTTGGGTGGGCAGGAACAGTACTAACACCGATCCTATGTTTGCTATGTCGGAAAGCCCTCGAAGGTTTTGTACTTTTGTAATTTTGATTCGTTTGTAGCCACGTACTCAAAACGACAGAAAGAAAAAGAAACAAAAAAAAACAACAGATGTAATTGTTTGTGTAATATAACACAGAACATGTAAATACCAATTTTCAGAATTTTTTTTGGGTGTCTTTCCACAGACCTATGTTGTACTTTGTCACGGTTGCAGCCTGCAGCCTCCTGATAAGACTGTTGGTATATCACTCAGATCTTAAGGTCTAGAATAAAATCTATTTTGATAATATCTGTGTTTTGTAGCTTTGCTCTGTACCAAAACAACAGACTTCACACACAGCTGCTGCTTTGGTTCACTTACACCAGTTCCCTGACACTGGGGCCAAGCTGTAACTGTTACAGCTTTAACGAAAAGGAGGAACCCATCATCTTCTGCTTAGTCAAATCGATGGGGTGGCAGCCCATGTTGGGAGGCCCAGACTTCCCTCTCTCCAGCCAGTTGTTCCACCTCCTCCGGGGGAATCCTCAAGCGTTCCCAGGCCAGCTCAGAAACATCGTCCCTCTAGCGTGTAGTGGGTCTTCCTCTGAGCCTCCAGATGCCTGAACCACCCAACTGGCTCCTCTCGACGTGAAGGAGCAGAGACTCTATTCTGAACCCCTCCTGGATGACTGGGCTTCTGTCTCTAAGGGAGAGTCCAGACACCCTTTGGAGAAAACTCATTTCAGCCGCTTGTATATGTGACCTTGTCCCTTTAGTCATTACCCAAAGCTCATGACCATAGATGAGGGTAGGAATGTATATCGACCAGTAAATCAAGAGTTTTACTTTTTAACTTGGCGCTCTCTTCACCACCACAGTAGATCGTGACAAGAAAGGGAACTCTCAACACTTTTGCTCCACCCTTCAACCAAATTGTGGCGAGCAAACTCTGCAACAAGGGAGAACATTGCTCTACATGCCCCCATTTTCCCACAGATCAGTTACACATGCGGCTTTCTGCTCTGCTCACAAAGAGGCAGAGCGGAAGGAGCCGTGCCTGCTTAAGCTGCAGGAGATCAGCAGCAAACTGAAATGGAGGGAACATGCATTCAGACACCAATGCATGCAACATTGATATTTGTGAAAAAAAATCATGACACGTTTCCCAAAAATGCCGGCGCATTGTTTCTGCTGTCTGATCTGTATTCCTGCAACGGTTTCTGCTGTGGTTCCTACAGCGCAGTTCTGCTTCTGGTGCAACGACGCTAAATGTGCGCCTGACGGTCCTTCAGATTATAATGCTAGTTTGATGTATGGGAACAAACGAGAATTCATTTCTGTTCAGTCAGGCAAACATTTGAAACACTGGGTCAAAGTTCATCTGCATCATCATTATACACAAGCTAGTAGACCCCAGTAGCTTCTTTTTTTTTTTTTGTGAATTTTACCAAACCTTTGGACAGGTGTCTAAAAGTACTCGACATGACTTATTTTCTTTTAAGATGAAATGCCAAAGAAATATTTTATTTTATTAGTGTTGTTATGGGTTAGTGGACCTCAACGTCAGCAAGTAATTCAAAAGCACTGTGCATGTGAGTTGTCTGAGTAGAGATGGTGGTTTTGTTCACAAAATGACTTTTCTCTAACTCCCTTCTAACTCTTGGCCATACCGTCACATAAATACTAATTAAAGTATTTAAAATGAAATTAGAAATTTTAACTGCAGCAGACAGACGTGTACCTTTTTGAATCACACACACACACACACACACACACAAATACATACACACATTGTTGCCAAAAAAAGAGGAAGTTCCTTTTGCAACAATGGTCATTTGGGCCAGTTAGTTCAGTTTTAGTTTCATCAGGATATGTGCCATTAAAATGGTGACACAGGTATGAAAAATCTACAATATCAAACTTGAATTTTAAAAAGTGTTGTTACCAGCATAGCTATGAGTAATGCTGGCTTTAGGGGCTGAGGTTATAGTTCAGGTTGAGCTATTGAAATGCTGATCAGATGTGCCCAATTGTAGACACAATATCTTGTTGGCATAATAATGCGTTGTAAAAAATTGCATGAAAGTAAAAAAAAAAAAAAAATCCAAAATCAGAGAGAAAAACTGACCAAATGAGTCATCTGAAATAGAAACAGTTTATTTGTTCCAATATTATTCCAATGTTAATGTTTTCTGGTTTAATATTAATGCCATTACAGCACAATCCTATTATACTGTTAAGAGACCCAATTTTTTATAGTAAGACTGCTGGAAATTTCAGCGATTTCATAAAAATCTCTAAAATACATGAGAGATTTGAATGAAATAAACAAGAAGGCTGTTTATTTCATGGACAATTTGACCCTTGATATTTCTGATCTCATTAATATTGTGATCATTTTGTGTACTTTATTCCTACATGTGAATTGAAGAATACCTCTGCTATTTACTGAACATTTCGAGCCTGCTTTGGTGATACGAAGAACTACCACGATTTACCAAAACAATGCTGCTTCATTTGTGCTATGACATGTTGGGTTCTGACTGCTTTCTTTGTTGACCCTTTAACCATTACGTCATTCAATCATTCGAGGCGCCATGTTGGACGACATGAAATTATTTTCGTGGCGTTTACGTATCCCAATTAGACTGTGAACGTAACCAGGTTCGCCATAATGCAACATTTGATATCTTTCTAATAACACTTACTTATAAAGTGTATGAAAGTAAATTTTCTTACCTTTGTAAAAAAAAAAAAAGAAAAAAAAAAGTGTTCTCATGATTGACGGCTGCTATCTATCCCAAACGTTACACAATAAGATAACGAGTTAGGATTTCGCCCCTGTCTGTTTGTGCAGGCGACCCCACAGCACTCTGTGGCCATTTTGTTACTGCGACACCAACCTAATAAAAGCAACACGAGGCCGTCAATATGTGCGTTTTGTGGCAGAATTCTCACGGGTTGCTCAGGCAACGGCCGTCATGGCGGAGCAGGCCGCGTTGCGAATTGTTTTTTAAAAATATATATATTTTTTTATTTATTTACAAAAAACAATTACTCACTTCACGATCTCTGGAAGCTGCTACATCAATGTCAGACTTAATTCTGCTTGAATTAAGTCTGACATTGACTTCACTGCACGTTTCGAACGCCGTGCTTGTCCGCCCAATGCAAATCAAGTTAGAAATAAGACAGAAAAAACACAAGCCATTAAAGACAAGCACAGTAAACAGGTAACCGTAAATTAATTTAGAAAGTAAAAAAAAGTAATTTCTTGCTTCGTGTCCTTTGTTGACTCGTGAAAAGAATAATTTTTATTTTTATTTATTTTTTTTTTTAGAGGCAGATCAATTACACGCCATGGCTCAGCGCCGGAGGAGGTAATGTGAGTATCTCTGTTTTACTAAGGACTAAGCTAATGGTAGCAACATAAAAACCAGGAACTGGCTTGCCAGGGTTGTTGGAAGAAAGACTGGCGAAACCGGTCTTTACCATTACGATGGGGCGGGAGGCACCATTACGATTTACTTCATCTGGATTGTGTCCTGAAAAGACATTCACAGCCGTTTGTCACTTTGCCACCACACAACATTCTGGGCACGTCATGTGCTGCATGAAACACTTTCCCAAATAAGAACCCTGATGTCGCGACCCCCAGGAGCCAACACCATCCTGCCACGACTTAGTTTGTAATTTCCAGTTGCTTTGCAAATCTCGAGAAAACACCGCCAAGCTCAGCCTGAGCGGAAAACTTCTCTAAAGCAACGAGTTTCACAGCCCTTGTTCTTATCTCTGTACTTTGACTGGGCCACTTTAAACTTATGCTACAAGGTAGCTCTGTCTGTTGGAAGGTGAGCCAGGGCCAAATACATTTGGCTGCAATTATGGCTGACGGATTTTTTTTCTTTCTTCCCCAGGTTGTTCTGCATTTAGCTTCATCTTATCAGCTCTGACCTACTTCTTTGTCTCAGCTGACGAAAAGCTTCCCTCATGACGTTGTGGAGATGATGTTTCTAAAGCCTCTGCAGTGTTGGCTTTCTCTTTCTACTTACTCTTTTTTTTTGTTTTGTTTTCAAAACCCATATCTGTGGATTGCCAGGCTAATAATTACACCATTAATAAATGGTCTTTGGATGTTTTTCCAACACAACCCTGCTTTAACATTTTCACCGCCCTGCGTCGCATGTTTCTTTTTTAGGTCTCTAATGTCCCGTCAAACCTCTGAGGTCAGAAACAGAAGACCTGCAGTTATGTTGAGATGAAAGAAAAACACTGATGGACAGATATCTGAAGGGTGATTTTCTTTACTTTGGGAGATTGATGATTGGCTGATAGTTATGTGAAGCCGATCTTCTCCACCTCTGCAAAGGTCTAAAAATCAACTGCTCTGCTGCAGAGATGTTGACTGTTAGCCCCGCCCACTGGGTCATATCTGTAACAAAAGTTGCCCCACTGTTGCCATCTCAGCGACTTTCTCGCTGTATTTTGCAACATTTTGGACAAAAAAATTAAAATAAAATCAAAAACTACTATCAGTGCATGCCTAATATGAAGACAGTCGCTCGCACTTGAATTTATTTAGGGGTAGCAAAGTGAAGGGAGCTGTACATAAATGGAAGTCACACTTTTAAGATTAAAAAAACATTGTCTGTTTGGGGGGGAGGTTTATGAAAACGAAACTTTTCCTTCCATTTCACAACCATGCACTGCTTTGATTTGCTCTATCTCGCAGGACGTTCTGTGGTTGTAATTGGACAAAAATATGAAAAACGTGTGAATACTTTTGCGCGGCTGTATAACTATTGGTGTCTTTTCAGAGACTTCTTTGGAGTTATGAAGCCCTTGGTATTTTGAAATGAGAAAAATAGAGGAAGTGTGAAACTGAACAACCTTTAGCTGTGTGTGGGTGTGGGTGTGTGTGTGTGTGTGTGTGTGTGTGTGTGTGTGTATGTGTGTGTGTGTGTGGTGTATTGCATTATTAAATTGGGACAAAGACAGGAGGACACGCAGGATGCAGCTGCAGATTTTCCAATCGGCTTCGTTCAACGGCCGTTTGAGTCTCTCCTCGGGTCTGGATCCTCCTGTCCTCTGCCTGCTTCAGAACCGCCTTTCTGGGCTGCTGTGAAAGCAGGGAGGGAGAGAGGGACTGGAAACGGCACAGTCAGAGAACCTGGCTCTTGTTTTTTTTTCTTCTTTATTGTCTTTCTTTCTCTTTTATTACCAGCAACTTTACAATCAGCACTGTCGCTCTCAGACTAGGCATCTGATTGAACTTTCACTCTCTCTCCGGCAGAGAAGCGATGTGATCC